CCCTCTCCCATCCTAACCCTCTTCTCCTCAACCTCTTCCTCCCTCCTCTCCCCACCTTCCTCCTCTCCTCCTCCCTCTCCTCCTCACCTCCCTCCTTCCCCACTTCCCCACTCCCCACCCTCCCCTCACCCCAGACGCTGAACAATGACTCACTGTGCGTCAATGTTGTTGTTATCAGCGGTGTGTTGTGTCGTCTCCCATGGACACTGTGACCACCACTGAGAGGATCCATCAGCCCTCACGTAGCCATCAAGGAGCACCTGAAGATTAGCCCCCCCATAGTGTATTTCAATTGAGGACTAACCACTTTCATGTTACCTGGGGTGTTAGGTTAGGATTTGGTTAGGTTTGGTTAGGGTTGGTTAGGTTTGGTTAGGTTAGTCTTATGGTAATACTATAGTCACAGGTATATTTGATGGCCATACTGAAGCTGATGACAGGTGGAGGTAGAGGGGTAAAGGTAGAAGCAGTTGACAGGTAGGGGTGACAGGTAGAGAAAGTGACAGGTAGAGAAAGTGACAGGTAGAAGTGGGTGACAGGTGGGAGAGTGTGCCAGGTAGAGAAAGTGACAGGTAGGAGAGTGTGACAGGTAGAAGTGGGTGACAGGTAGATGGGTAGATAGGTTGGACAGGTAGATGGTTACAGTCTTCCGTCGTTGTCTCCGATTTCCTTTGATAACTGTATTACCTGACCTGGGGAGAGGAGGGGAAGGGAGAGAGGAGAAGACAGGAGAGAGGGAGAAGGAAGGGGAGGAAGAGAAGGTAGGAGGAGAAGGAAGAAGTAAGAAAGGAGAAGAGGTAGAGGTGGGAAGAGTAAGAGGTGGAGGTGGGAAGAGGAGGAGGTGGGAAGAGGAGGGGAAGAGGAGGTGGGTACAGGTAAGGCACCACTAGCTTTCTTGCAACATTGAATAACTAAACATATATTGCAAGAGCTCAGTTGGTGAAGACAGAGGCGCCACCTGGAGGGAAGAAAGTTCACCTGTTATTATTATTATTATTATTATTATTATTATTATTATTAGTATTATTATCACCTAAACGACTACACGAACACGACCAAACATATGTATACAATCTGTCGATTCTCCCCTCCTCCCCCTCCCCTCCCTCCCTCCTCCCTCCTCCCCCTCCCTCCCCTCCCTCCCCCCTCCCTCCCCCCTCCCTCATCTCACGCACGACCGCTGCTAAACTGTTCCATTCTTCCTTTTACACAAGTCATTATTTTATGTTATTTTACGCTTCATCGCTCTAATTCATTATTATTGTTAGGGTGAATTGCCTTAACTCTCTACGTGTTATGGAAGTGTCTTATCTTGTTTGGTTTGGTTTAGTTTAGGTTAGATTTGGTTTAGGTTTGTGTATTTATGTCTCCTTCTGGTTGACAGTATTTACAAGTACCTCCTCAACACACACACACACACACACACACACACACACACACACACACACACCTCCTACAGTGTTATGAACGTACACAGATAATTACACGACGGGGGATATTTCTGAAGCAGTGAGGGAGACGAAGGCATCAAGGACACCCAATAATGATCTGTTTCCCTCCGTCAGCAGCACCCCGGGGCGCCCTCACGTACACCTGGAGTTGCTATGGGAACACAACCCTTATATATGGATAACAACCACAACTATAACACACCTGGTTAATCGCGTTATATTTGGGCATCCACGATAGATTCTGGAGATGTACGATAGCGTTTGGTTACGTTCAGTAGTGTCTGGACACGTACAGTAGCCCCTGGTCACGTACAGTAGCCCCTGGTCACGTACAGTAGCCCCTGGTCACGTACAGTAGCGTCTGGTCACGTACAATAGCGTCTGGTCACGTACAATAGCTTATGGATACGTTCAGTACAATAGCCTCTGGATACGTACAATCTCTCCTACACGTGCAATAGCTTCCAGACGCGGTGAAGGTTACAATACCGTAACACACACTACTAAAGGAACGAACCCTGTCCCAACCTAACCTAACGTAAATATATTGTCAAGGTGCTGTATAGTGAAATAAGCTGTGGGGTGTCTAATCTTCACCTGGCCTAATAAGCTGTCTTTGGGAGTTGAGGGAGGAGTGTTGGAGATAATACCTGTATTATATCACCTGTCTCCCTCTTGCGTCCAGGACAAAGACTTTAATTATTGTAATGATCGGCGGGTGTCCCTTAGGCGACCCACTGCTTCTCCTCCTCCCCTCCTCCTCCTCCTCCTCTCCTCCCTCCTCCCTCTCTCCTCCCTCCTCCTCCTCCTCCTCCTCCTCCTCCTCCTCCTCCTCCCTTCCTCCTCCTCCTTCCTCCCTCCCTCACTAGGTGTTGTTGTTATTGACCCCAGCATCAATGACTCCTAGATCCTCCGGCACACACAAACAGGTAACCTTTCACCTGAGTTAACTTGGATCACCTGAAGATTAACCTAACCTAACCACACTAACTTAAGCTAACCCCTAGGTAACGTTAGGGAGGTTAATGGTGAAATAAGGTGGGTGGTCTAAACCTTTATGGTGATCCAAACAATGCATTATCTTCACCCCAGGCCGTCTTATGAGTGGTCCAGTGTGGTGATGACTAGTGGTATTGTGATAGAGCTAGACAGACAGACAGACAGACAGACAGATAACTACTACTACTACTATTATTACGACTCCTATTACTAGTACTATCACTATCTTCATTATTATTATCATCACCATTATTTTACAGTACCGTGTCTCAGTGTCTGTGTTGGTTCGCGTTGATCAAATCTTCTCGCCAACATACAAGCGTTGGGTGTCAGAGGCTGGTGGAAATAGTATAATCTTGGTTGAAAATTGTTAGGGGTTGCCGGGGAGGGAGGGGGGGAGGGAAGAGCAGGAGGAGGGAGGAGAGGAGAGAGGCAGAAGGAGAGAGGGAGGGAGGGAGGGAAGAGCAGAAGGAGGGAGGAACAGGCGGGAGAGGGGCAGAACGTGGGAGAAGCAGGAGGAAGGAGGGAGGGAGAGGGGCAGGAAGAGGGAGGGGGCGTGTTGGTGGTGCTGGGAGGAGGAGGAGGGTTAGGTTAGGTTAGTGTGTGGCCCTATGGGGATTAGTGGGATTGTTGTTGTTAAGTAGGAGGAGGAAGAACAGGGAGAGGAAGACATGGAGGACGAGCTGGAGGAAGAGGGAGGGAGGGGGAGGAGATGGAAGAAGTGATGGTGAAGTAAGAAGACGTGATAAAGATCCAGAGATTAGAATAACAAGTTAGTGTCGTGAGGGGGAGGATGGGTGGTGATGAGGGGTGGAGGTGATGAAGGAGGGTGGGGGGATGAGGGAGGGGTGGGGGGTGAGGAGGGGAGTGGGTGGGGGTGATGAGGGAGCAGGTGGGGTGATGAGGGGGGTGGGGGTGATGAGGTGGAGGTGATGAAGGAGGGGTGGAGATGATGAGGGAGTGGGTGGATGAGGGGGTGGGGTGATGAGGGAGTGGGTGGGGTGATGAGGGGAGGGTGTGGGGTGGAGGCTAAGTGGATCATTACTTACTGTTGTTGTGGACTGGGCTGTTGCTATCGGAAGTGGATCAGTGCGTGCAAAGACAAGGGGAGGGGGGGTGTGGGGAGAGGGGGAGGGTAGTGGGGAGAGGGGGGTGGGGTGTGGGGAGAGGGGGAGGGTAGTGTCAAGGGTGTTTAATCATCAAGTGAAGTAAGCTGGGGTGGCTAATCTTCAGGTGATTGTAACACTATAATATTTTAATGACCTTATTAGTAGTAGTTAGAGGTCAGAGGTCATTTTGACATAGTGTGTACAGTATATTATTAAAATGTTACTTATATATATTTTTTCCTTCATACAGGTATGTTTGTGTTGACTGTTAGTGCTGAACCATCGAACAAGGTGGTGAGTAGTTTGTCTGTGTTGTTTGTTTAAATATTTATCTGTTGTTTTTTATATTGATATTGTAACAGTTTATTTAGTCAGAAAAACACAGACACAGAGTGGATAATAATAACAATATTAACATGGCTGAGTCAGTTGAGAACCTGAGCTGCACCTGATATATACTATACATTTATCTCAAGGAAGTATTATGTAACATTTAGTATCATCTGGAATAGTACAATAGCATGGTGGTAATAAGAACATGTTACCACGGTTATCACTTCAATATTTATTAATTTTATTTATTTATTTATTTATATATATACATAAATTACAGTGGAATTTAAAAACCTAAGTATAATGGGCAGCAGTACAACCTGGGGTGTACAGTAATAAGGTTGAACAAGAGGACAGAGCTGTCAGGATTATGTCTAGTTGGCAATTATATTTATTGCAATGGTAATTACTTATCTATTAACATGATAATTTCCGATAAAACGGTTTTGATGGTACAATAAAAGCAGGTACTGTAAATATAGTAGGTGTTACAAGAAATATTAATACTTAGACAATAGATATTTTTTTAAGAGATGATTTAAAGGAAAGGAGCGTAGTGTTTGGTGGGATGGGTGGGGGTAAGTGTTCCGGAACTGGAAACAATTGTTGTCAACCACGTGATTGACAGCTTTGTGAACAGTAGGGTGCAGCAGTGGGTGTTAATATCCTCGAATTTTAACATTTTCAATTATGCATTTTTTGTCTGTATATGTACCTAGTATGTATGTGTATCTGTTGTGTCTTTCATGTGTATATGTGTGCGTATGTATGTGTTAATATATCCTATTATTTCCTAGTTATATAGTGTCCTTCTGATAGTTAAATCTTCCCGGAATAGGGTACCGCCCATCTTCGCGTGGGTGCCTGACGTGTGAGTAACCATAGTAGTAACTCAAGAATACTCCGTCACTCTGCGTTACTGTGAGTTCATAGACGATAGAATTTATATATATGAAGAAATTTACGAGATATTGTTATAAATGCTGTAATCTTCACTATAGATGTTCGTTACTCGGCGTCTAGAGCATGTGGTTGGGAGGCCGCACTGTACGATATGTTCCCAAGGTCGCCTGGCATCAACGTCACTCACCTCATCTCACGGGGTTAGTTCCACAGGATACGAGGATGGTGGAGGGTGTGGCGCTCCTGCCTCCCTATACACGTGTATTGAACACTCATTGTTTATTTACTGTAACGGGTGTTGTGTGTACGTCTAAATAAAGACAGACGATGATTTACCAATAATGAATACTATTGAATGATTCAGTGTGAAGATCTACTATGAAATATACGTAAAGAATGTTTTAAAGTGTAGTACTGGGGGATTGTTGTGGTTTGTTTGTAAATATTAAAACTCGACTCGAAGACAAACACCAGAAAATACGTGACATGTCCTCCTCGATCAGTACTCCCACAGTACCAGTGAGATGAAGTTGTGGTAACGACAGCGGTGTAGTGGTACCTTGGTATTTATCCTGAGTACCACACTACTACCACAGCCGTCATGCTGTTAGAGGCCACCACACAGCAACCACAGCCTTCACCACCGCAGCTGTATGGCTGTGTGTGCTTCACGTGTAATGGTAGGTCACCCTTGTAGTGGCACCTCATCCTTGTAGTGGCACCTCATCCTTGTAGTGGCACTGCACCCTTCTTGAGGAACCTCACCCTTGTAGTGGCACCTCACCCTTGTAGTGGCACAGCACCCTTGTTGTGGCACCCCACCCTTCTTGAGGCACCTCACCCTTGTAGTGGCACCTCACCCTTGTAGTGGCACCTCACCCTTGTAGTGGCACCTCACCCTTGTAGTGGCACCTCACCCCTGTAGTGGCACACACACACCTCCCCGTATTACCGCTCGTGTCGTCCATTAGGGGAGGGAGTGAGTGATTTGTTGACTAGTTGGAGTCGAGAGAGAAATATGGTGTGTTGTCTGGCCTCTAGTGTGTGTATGCCTGTCTACCCAGCAGTAATTGGGGACCTGAATGTTAATCGATTTATGGATCGTATTCCGGGGTAATGGTTATCCAGTGCAGTTGGCGAGTTGTCCGGTCTTCTTGGACTATTCCTCGACACTGGGTCATGCAGCTCGTTAACTCAGGGTGTGGTTGTTGTGTTGGCGACAGCTTCTACACCTTAAACAAAATTCACCGTAACTCTACTTGGAGGCGAGGGTTAGGTTAAGGTGTTTAATTATCAGGTGCAATAGGTTTAGGTTTCTAATCTGCATATGCTTACATTACTTATCACCTTAATTCAGTTATTACCCTTTTATCATGATTATTTGTTTCTTTAGTTTATTATTAATCTTACCTGTTCCTTGACGTTTATTTATAAGTGGCAAGACACGGAGATAGTAACTGTATGACTGTAGTTGACTGTGTGACTGGAGTTAGACTGGACACTCCTTACATAGGTTTACCGAGTCGTTCACACAGTTTGATAAATGATCCACCTGTGTGTTTTTATTACCTGTGGAGAGTGATTAGTGGCTGGCTTGTTTACACCTGTGTCCAGTCTCTTGCGTCCTGGGTTGTTTTATAGGTTGTGAAAATCGAATACCTGGTGCAAGTTATGGATGACCTGAACATTAGGCACCTCCCATAGGCCCCATACCTACCCACAAACACACACCCACACCACAGGACCCACATGCCTCTGAGATACCCCCCCACACCCACCCATACCCACATTGTTCAAAGCTTGTGTGGGGTTGGTATCGTTTTAGGACAAGAGTGTGTTTCTGTACTTCTCTGGCGTGTGTGTGTGTGCGTGCGTGGGGGGGGGGGGTGGGGAGGTGTGGCTTGGGGGTATGGTGGTGTGGGTGTGGCGGTTGTTGGTATGTGGTCTGACTAGCCTTGTGTGTGACTGTGTGTACCGGGTATATGTACATGTGTGTGTGTGTGTGTGTAGGTGGACGCAGTTAATGGTCTTTGCTGCAATATTTGTACCGATGACATGTTCAGTCTCATTATAATGCTCGTCATGTTCCCTGTGGTAAAGCCTCTACTGGGATATTGACACACCCTTGATTTTATTTGATTCTAACACAAGGAAGATTAGTTTATGATTCTGTGACGTGACTCAGGTAAAGAAAGGTTATTTAGAATGATCACCCAGACGAACATTCCGATTTATGTATTTAATTCCATAGGTGACGTTAATGGCATATTATTATTATCATTATCACGTAGCAATATTTATGTGGTGTTACTAAATATGGTAGTTTCTTTACTTCACTCTATCCCCTCTTCATTTTCCTGCTTCTCTTCTTCTCTCTTCCTCCTCTTCCTTTTCCCTCCCTCCCTCCCTTCCTTCCTTCCTTCCTCCCACCCCCTCTCATCCCCTTTTCCTCTTCCTTCTCTCCTCTCCCTCCCTCCTCTCCCTCCACTTCTCCTACGCCACCCCATCGTCCTCTCTCCCTCCCCCCTCTCCCCCCCTCCCTCCCCCCACACGATGTCATTAGTGAACTACGTAATTTTGAAGGCTTGTTTAGTGGTAATGTTGTCCCACACACAAGAGCTTGGTAATGAGCCGCTGTTGTTGTTGTGGGTACGACTAACGCTTAAGTGGTGGGTTGGGTACAGGCTGCTTGGCTGTTTCCTGTACTGTACATCTCCCCTCTTGGTGCGCCAGTGGTGGGGGTGTGGGGTGGGGGTGGGGGTGTGGGGGTTATAGTGGGTGGTGATGTTAGTCGCCGTGGTGATAGTGGTGGTGGATAATGTATATACTGGTGATAGTGGTGGAGATGGTGTTACTAGTAGTGATGATGGTGGTGATAGTGATGGAGATGGTGGTGGAGGTGGATAAGGTATTGATGGAGTACTGGTGGGGGAGATAGTGGTGGTGAGGCTTTGTTTTGTCATTATGAGAAAGTTGTGACGCACGCGGCTGGTGAACACTTGTGAGAAACATAATGGTTATATGTGACTTGGTGGTGGTGAGTAAAGGTTGTAGTTGTTACGAGTGTTATTCGTGTTATTATTATTGTTGTTGTGATTATTCGTTTCATATGTCCTGTGTGCGTGTGTGTGTGTGTGTGTGTGTGTGTGTGTGTTGATGTAGACTGAAAATATTTAACGTGTTTGTAAGCGTTTGTTTACTGTAGTTGTTGAGTACAGGATTTCTTTATGTAAGGGTGTGGGGGGGGGGGGAGGAGGGGGGATGAGGGGAGGAGTGGGGGAAGAAAGATGAGGAGGAAGAAAGGAGAAGAATAGGAGAAATACGAGGAGGATGGGGAAGAAGAACAGAGGAGGAGGAGGAGGAAGGAAGGTTGTGTGGGTCTCCGCCGAGCACTGCTATAGTCTCTCCTTGCTCAACACTCTCTGGCGCCCACACGCCCTTCCTCTGTCCTTCCTCATTCCTACTCCTTTTTCGTCATCTTTTCTTCCTCCTCCTCCTCATCTACCTCTTCTCTCCTTCTGTCCTTGTGTACTTGCTCCTCCTCCTCCTCCTCCTCCTCCTCCTCCTCCTCCTCCTCCTCTTCCTCCCCCTCCATTCATGTACATATCCTATTTGGTCTTACGCCACTCACCTCCCCATCTCTCTCTCTCTCTCTGGAAAACCTTTTTATCATTGGTCTTTATATATTAAACAAATTAACTGCCATTGTGGTAGTTGTCTTAGTGATTCAGCAGCTGTAGGATTGTTAAGGCAGAGTTTCATTCCTGACGACTTTGAGGAGAAAAATAATCTTATGTTAAAAACTATTGTATGTTATTTTATTTTTGTTTGTTATTGTCACCAAGTTGTCTTAGAGTGATCCGCTGAGTGAAAGGCACCCCGCCATCATCCTCTCCTAAATATATATCAGAAGGACCCGTCATTATGCCCCGGAGAGTCTTTCTATGTGATGAGTCGAAAGTTGTCGAACACCAATTGAGAGTCGAGACGGTGAGGGTTTAGTGTTCATTGGTGTTCGAACCTTCATGGCTCTAGTATATTATCGGTGTGTGTGTGGTGTGGTGTGTGTGTGTGTGTTGTGTGTGTGTGTGTTGTGTTTCAGAATGTTTTGTTTTGTAAATATTCTAATACTGGGTTAAATTAGTTCATATGTAAGATAATATTTTTAGGTAACTTGACTGAATTTTTCCATTATTTTAGTCCCAGTTTAATTAGGTTCTGTGGCTAATAACTAGACACACGTTGAAACTATTTACCCTGGGAGTACACCAAAAAAAATTAATACATTAACTTCAAGAATTATTACATGGTTGGGAACACCTGAAGATTAGACACCCTAACGTTAACCCAACCTAACCCCACCAGGTAGCATTAGGGAACTTAATCATCAGGTGAAATAAACTTGGGTGTCTAATCTTCAGGTGACCACGTAAGAGGATTTTTGAGATTTTCTAAAACAGGGTAATGGCAGCAAGTTGGAGATTGGCTGCTGAGACACAGGCCAGCCAGGAGCTCTCTGTTCCTCCAGGTTGATGTCGTCAGGATCATCAGGGCACACCGTGTGGGATGTGAGAGGGGCATTGAGGAGGGGCGCTGAGAAGATCCGCGACCGTTCTGGGCTGGAGAGTGAGGGGGTGAGTGTAGGAGGAGGTTGCGCAAGTGTTGAGGAGGAGGACGGCTGCGTGGTGGTGGTGGTGTTAGTCCGTCTGTTTCTGTCATCACGTTGCAGGGGGCATCCACCTCCTCTCTCTCTCTCTCTCAGGGCGATAGTAAGCTCCTGTAGTGTTTGTGAAGTAGACAGGTGAAAAAAGTCACGAACATTCGATGTTTCAGGGTTCACTAACAGGCGATGATATATTTCAGAGGTTCACTAACAGACGATATGTTCAGAGGTTCACTAACAGACGATGTATTTCAGGGGTTACTAACAGGCGATATATTTCAGAGGGTCACAAACAGACGATATATTTCAGAGGTTCACAAACAGGCGATATATTTCAGAGGGTCACAAACAGACGATATATTTCAGAGGGTCACAAACAGACGATATATTTCAGAGGGTCACAAACAGGCGATATATTTCAGAGGATCACAAACAGGCGATATATTTCAGAGGGTCACAAACAGACGATATATTTCAGAGGTTCACAAACAGGCGATATATTTCAGAGGGTCACAAACAGACGATATATTTCAGAGGGTCACAAACAGACGATATATTTCGAGGGTCACAAACGGGCGATATATTTCAGAGGATCACAAACAGGCGATATATTTCAGAGGTTCACTAACAGGCGATATTTCCAGAGATTTGCACAAACAGACGATATATTTCAGAGGTTCTGGAAGCAGGCGATATATTTCAGAGAGGATCTGGCAGAATGATATATTTCCAGAGAAGTTACAAACGGGCGATATATTTCAGAGGATCCTGAAACAGGCGATACTCTCAGAGGTTCACTAGCCAGGCGATACTCTTTCAGAGGGTCACAAACGGACGATATATTTCAAGGAGTTCACAAACAGGCGATATATTTCAGAGGTTCACTAACAGGCGATATATTTCAGGAGAGGGTCACAAACGAACGATATATTTCAGAGGGTCTGGAAGCAGGCGATATATCTCAGAGGTTCTGGGACAGGCGATATATCTCAGAGGAGTTCACTAACAGCGATATAT